CCCTAAACCCAAAGTTCCTAAACCCTAAACCCTTAAACCCTAAACCCCTAAACCCTAAACCCAAAGTTCCTAAACCCTAAACCCTTAAACCCTAAACCCCTAAACCGTAAACCCTAAACCCTTAAACTGGGCCCTTGGAACCGTGATGACACCCTGCCAGGCCCTGACAAGTCAGAGATTCGATTTCGGCCAGTTTCTCGACATTCTTTAGGGTTTAGGGTTTAAGTCTCCAAAAATAGCACGGCACACTTATAACAAAAGGACCCTAAAAGGGACCCTAATTCAGAGAACTACCCCTGAAGTGCTAGCCTCTGCTGCTCGCATCTGTCACAGCCCCAACTCGAGAAGCTCAATGGCCCCTCCGGCTCTCCTTCAGGATTCCTTCAGGGTGTAGGGGGCTTAGGGTTTAGGATACTTTTTACGGGCGGTACCGGCAAGTCTCTCCAGTACTTGGCCAACCTCGCGAAAGGCAAGTCGATGCTGATCGGCGACGAGAGCGGATGTCTGCGCAACGCATGTTGTCCCGGCACTCCTCTGCGTCTGCGGCATGCTCGAAATTTGAAGAATCCAAGGGCCTCTGAGACTCTGGTGTGCGTGGAGAGAACCTCCACCGTCCAGTAATGGAAAGTGTGGGGTTCAGGGCTGTCTGGGGCCTAGGCTAGGGGTTTTGGGGCCTTGGGGTTGAAATTCGGTAATTCTAAGTGCGCCAAGGCACCCCCCATACGCCCTCTTGCAGAGCCCTGGACCGTCAACCCTAAATGCCTTTTTTTTTGGGGGGCAGCGAGACGGGAGGCGAAGCCGTCAAGACACCCAGGGTTTGTAGGGATTAGGGTTTAGGGCTTCGCGTCCCCCAGCCGGAAACCGCGTGCCGTGAAGCCGACAAAGCAAAGAGACAGCCGTCGATATGATACGGTTGATGATATAAACCCCGCACTACCTTAAGGACCCTAAACTATGGGATCTCTGGTATATTCCTCCCTAAACCCTAAACCCTAAACCCACAACCTAACCCTAAACCCCTAAACCCCTATATCCTAAACCCCTTACTATGGGTATTGCCAGATTTCTATCATCAGCCGTAGTACCAAACACAGCTCATGTCTGCCCAAGACATCCGAAGACGGAACCCCGAGCCGCCGTAGTCTCTGTTTCCATATCACCCCTCGGCCCTAAACCCTAACATAGGGTTGCTTAATAATTAGAATCGGGTTTAGGGTTTAGGGTTTAGGGTTTAGGGTTTAGGGGTTTAGGGTTTAGGGTTTAGGGTTTAGTTTAGGGTTAGGGTTTAGGGTTTAGTTTAGGGTTTAGGGTTTAGGGTTTAGGGTTTAGGGGCCTTAATAATTAGAATAGGGTTTTGGGGCCCATTATACTATAGTTATGATAAGGAAGCCCTAGCACAGTATTGGCAATTATTTCGGCCCCTACATTAAACCCTGAAGGCTTGCCTTTAAAGAACTCAACAATTGGATTGGGGTTCCTAATCTTTAATACAAGATAAGTATAGTACAATACACCATTTTAGTTACAAAAGCTTAGCCTAAACACTAAACTCCTATGCCCTAAACCCTAACCCCTAAATCCTTTACCCTCACCCTTAAACCCTAAATCCTATACCCTAAACCCTGAACCCTAAATCCTATACCCTAAACCCTAAACCCTATATACAATAAACCCTATACACCCTAGTGTATCGTGCCCCTATTCTAATTATGAAGGCCCCTACACCCTAAACCCTTGTAGTTGCCCTTATAGAACCCTTTAAGGAACCCTTTAAAGAGCCGGAATGAAACCCTAAACCCTAAATCCTAAACCCTAAACCCTAAATCGTGATGCTGGCCTAAGTTCCAGAGAAACTGGTGCTCCAGCTCCACAGGGATGTGCTCGGCCACCTACGAAACGGGGCTTCATGGGTTTAGGGTTTTTTGGGTTTCGGGTTTTAGGGTTTTAGGGTTTTGGGGCTTTTAGGGCTGAGGGTGTAGGGGCTTTTGGGGTTTAGGGTGCTTAGGGAAAAGGGTTTACGGTTAACGGTTTAAGGTTCAGGGCACGAGCCCCTAAATACTGAATCCTAAACCCTGGGTTCGGATAGGCATTCTGAAGGTCTGGAAGATTCCGTGGGCAAAGGTAGCCTTTTTAGGGATTCGTGGGCGAAGGCCGGGATTGGGGGCCAGGATTCGCTGGTAGGGCTCGAGGATGGGATGGGGTAATTTCAAACGTGGCACAGTTTATCTATGTGGGGGTTTCCGAAAATAGGGGACCCTGATTTAGTACCCTAAATAGTAGGATCCTTATTATAAGGACCCCAAAATCAGGTACCCTCTATTTTCGGAAACACCCATGTTGTGATTGATTTCTTGAACCATCGACTTCATACACTCTTGCGGACACGCGGGCCAGGGCAAAACCTAGTCTCAAAAGTGTGGTTCGAGGGTGGGGTGGGGAAACTGTTTTCGAGAACAAAATGTCTGGTTGTAATTCGCTGAACTTTGCCGTGGTGGCCGTATTCAGGCGAACCATGACCGTATGCAATGGCCTGATCTGGTGAACCCCATAGCTGGGAGGGTGAAGTATCAACAGCGATACCCCTTACTGAAGAAGTATACCTTAAACTAAAAAAAGAACCCTAGTAAGATTTAAGGTATACTTCTTAATGAAGGGAAATTGGAATCTCTGGGCTATTTCTCAATCAATCCCTGAGACCAGCCGTCTTTTGTGTGTGCGGAATACAAGACAAATATCTTGCCTTAAGGCTCCACGTGCCCATATAGTAGATATTTAGGCCTTCAAGTACCTAGATAGGGACGCCTTTAAGGCCTAAGTATCTACTATAAAGGTACATCGAGCCTTTGATTTTATGTGGGTTTGATCGAGTCTCCTGACTAATCCGCGTGAGCTATATCAGTTGATATCCATAAAACGATGAATGACGTGCACTTCATACCGGAATGATTGTCAGTAGCTGAGCCTGCGATGGGTATTTGTTGTTCTGTTGTGAAGTAGTTACATCTGCAATCTGATAAAGAAATAAACGACAGTACCCTCCTAAACCCTAAACCCTAAAGCCTAAACCCTAAACGTCAATGAATTCCTGGGCGGGTGGGATGAGTTCCGATGCCTGAAGACTGCTCGAGCTGGAGCAGCTGAAGCCTCACCCCCAGAGCCCTAAACCCCGAGCCCTAAACTCCAAGCAAACCCTCAACCCCAGGTAAACCCTAAACCCGAAGCCCTAAGTAAGCCCTCAGGAAACCCTTAACCTTAAGCCGTAAATCCCAAGTAAACCCTAAACCCCTAAACCCTAAACCCTGAACCGCACAGGCCTCGAGGCAAAGGACCCAGTCGAAGGCTTGAGGATGCCATTCCTTACCCAGAGTTTAGGGTTTAGGGTGTAGGGTTTAGGGTTTAGGGTGTAGGGTTTAGGGTTTCGAGTACCCAAAAAGAAGGTTTTAGGTCCCAAAATCCATACTCTGAATGGTTTTTGAGCCTTGCAACCCTACTATTTGGGCACTGGGACCCTTAGGGTTAATACTCGGAAGCGGGTTTAGGATTCAGCGTTTAGGGGTTTAGGGGTTTAGGGCTTTGGGGTTTAGGGTCTAGGGTTTAGGGTTTAGGGTTTAGGGTTTAGGGCTTTAGGGCTGTAGGGTTTCAGGGTTGAGGGCTTTAGGGTTTTAGGGTTTAGGGTTTTAGGGTTTAGGGCTCCAGCCCTCAGGTTCCTGTAAGGTTGCCATTTAGGGCATGTAAGGCTCCATGTACCGGTACTTAGGTTTTTAGTTCTGTAGGTTACTATTTGGGAGAGTGTATGATTATTGGGTACTTGGACCCTTAGGATAGAATATATACTTAGGCCTTAGAGGGTTCCTGCATACATACATCCTGTTGGGCCTAAGAATATATCATACAGGTACATGGAGCTGAAGGAATAGTTGGAAAAGGGTTCCTTTCAAGGCTTTGCGTTTATAACGTAAGGGAGCCACGGTGAATTACGTGCGGACAGTTATATCTGCAAATATTTCGGAACCCCTGACTCTTATAGTTTGAGCAATGATTGTGTACTGTGTGTTTAAGACCGTATGGTGTATGCCAGTATTCAAAAGAAAATTGTACAGCCTAATCCGTGAACCCAAAACCCAATTGACAATAGGGAAAGGGTTCCCTCCAGGGCCTAGCGTTTAAGGTTCAGGGATAATATCCAGGAGCCTTCATCTTCAATCGGTTCTCTGGGCTTGACAAGATGTTGTAAGTCTTGACAAACCTAGGAAGGTTTCTTACAGGGCTTACGTTTCACTTGATAAGATTCTGTGAGGCTGGAAAAAGTTCAGGAACCCTAAAACGTAGGGGGCTTTTTGTGTGGCTATGGTCAAGGGATCAGCATATTCAGGCGTTGATACAAGGCTTTGCTGGGCTTGATACGATATCGTGAAATTTTACCTCATAGCCTTACCCACTACGTCCCATGATCCCCCAAGTACCCTAAACCCTACTCCCTAAACCCGTGATCCTCTCCAAGTACCCTAGACGCGAGATGCCTAGGCATCTGAGGTTGTAGCTGTCCTCAAATTTTCCCTAAACCCTAAACCCTAAGCTTCTAGGAATCAAGGCAGGGCTGTACGTCTTAAGGGATATTTTTTTAACTATCCCTAAACCCCCCAGGGACCTACTATATAGGGTACTAGAGCCCCTAAGGCCCTATATAATAGGTACCTGCAGGGTTAGGGTACGGGCCAAAACCCTAAACCCTAATGTAGGTGCCTTCCTTGATAATTAGAATAGGGTTTGGGGGGGAAGGCTATACTATACTTATAATCAGGAACCCTCCACAATAGTATTGGTAATTAATTGTTCTCCTGAACCCTAAACCCTCCCTAAAATCAACTTTACGTAGTTCGGGCTTCTTCTTCAGAGGCTGCAGCAAGGCTATAGATTGTACCTAGAATCTATTTTGGGTTTAAGGTTTAGGGTTTAGGGAACTATAGAAGCATCAAGCTAAATGCTTTACGGTTTAGAGTTGCAGGACTTTGCAGTCTAATGCAGGGGCCTTAATAATTGGAATAGGGTTTGGGGAGTATATTATACTATAACTATAGTAGGGAAGCCCCAGAATAGTATAGGTAATTATTCAGGCCAACCCTAAACCCTAAACCCTAAACCCTAAGGTTGCAGGTTGCAGGACTTTGCAGTTGACCTTCAAGCCCAAATCGAAGCCTGACCCCGAGCCTAAACATCCGAAGCCTGCAACCTCCAAGACCAAAGCCTAAAATAGCAATGCGAAAAACCCCGGGCCTTGAACCGCTACGTACCTTAAACCCTAAGCCCTAAGCCCTAAACCCTAAACCCTACACCTTGGGCTACGAAGAATCAGGGGCCGTGGCGATGTGTACCCTCTCGGCAAGATCGACCTCCAGGGCCGTAGCGGAGAATCTTGGTAATTGGGTTTAGGGTTTAGGGTTTAGGGTTTAGGGCTTAGGGCTTCGGGTTTAGGGTTTAGGGTTGAGGGTTTACACGGGCCTGAATCAGAACTGGGCTTCTTTCCCAAAGGCTCCATGTACCTTTATAGTAGATACTTAAGCCTTAAAAAGGGTCCCCATATAGGCACTTTAAGGCCTAAGCATCTACTATATGGGTACATGGCGCCTTAGGGTTTGGGGTATGGTATAAAGTACAGCCATATGCAGGAACCTCAAAAGGGAGAGTTTTGGGCATTGTTCAAACTTCGCTATACTGTTTAGGGTTTAGGGTTTAGGGTGTTGGGTTTACGGTTTTGGGTTTAGGGTTCGCTATGCTATCTCCAATCCCTGAGATCTGGGATGTCCCTTTAAGGTAGACAAGGACGAGTTGGACCCGTCTGGGTAATTGGGTATAACGCTATGACCCAGATAGGGTTTAAGCTTTAGGGCGTGCTGTAGACTCCTGGATAAAGGTATCATTTTCCCTAAGGCTTCATGTGCCCATATAGTAGATACTTAGGCCTTAAAGTACCTCTATAGGGACCCCTTGAAGGCCTAAGTATCTACCATGAAGGTACATGGAGCCTTTGGGTTTCAGAACAGAAAGGACCGGCTGTTACTATTCTGCCTTCTATGCACGGGTCTTTGACTAGAAGGAGTCTTGGGTTACATGCTCGATATCCTGATCCTGAACCCCAAACCCTTAAACCCTCAGCCCTTTCCTTACGCTCCACTTCCCACTCTTACCCTAAACCCTAAACTTTAAAGCCTAAGCTCCAAGCTCCAATCCCGAAGCTCTAAACCCTAAAGTTTAAACCTTAAAACCTCTAAATCCTATAACCTTAAACCCTAAACCACTAAGCCCTAAACCTTAAACCCTAAGCCCAGTCTTCTAGGGTTCCTCCATGGGATACCGATCTTCCTCCGATTGCAAGGGATGGGCCCCCCAAGCCTCACCTAGATGAACGAAGGGTCTCAATGAAGGGATAGGCGTTAGGGTTTAAGGTTTGGGGCTTAGGGTTTAGGGTTTAAGGTTTAGGGTTGAAGGTTTAGGGTTTAGGGCTTAAGGTATAGGGTTTAGGGCTTAAGGTTTAGGGCTTAGGGTTAACGCCTTGCCTAGATGAACCCCGGGTCTCCATAAAGGGATATGGGTAGTTCTCTAAGTTAGGGTCCTTTTCCTAAAGATCAAAGGAGCTGTTAACCGAAACCTTGTTTCACCAGACCCATAGACCCCGTAAGGGCTTATAGTCTTATAGTAGACCCCAGAAAGGTTGGAAACCGGATTAAGGACGCTTAGTGCTGGGATTCACAAACATTGCTCTTAAGGATTGAGGCTATTGGGTTTCCAACTTTTGGCTTTCTACTGTATCCGAGGGTCTCAATAAAGCGATATGTACAGTACCTGTTTTGGGAGACCTTATACTTTTCAAGATACAGTGACTACTCTAGATACTCTAGGTAAACCGGGAAATATCTAAGTCAACCCAAGACCCTAAACCCCCTAAAACCTAAACCCTAAACCCCCTAAACCCTAAACCCTAAACATTTTGGTTTCTTGTAGAAGTCTTTGGCTCTGGCGCCCACGGCCCCACCTCGGTGACGCGGCCGTCGGTGATGTCTGTGACCCCGGGGACGCCGTCAAAGGCGAAGGCGGTGACCCACCCCGTGTCGTTCAGCCAACTGGAGAAGTTTTACACCGATTCGGGGTTGTAAGTTGTAGAATTTAGAATATAGAAACAGGAAATTGTCAGAGAATGAATCCGTTGGCTTTCATGTACATGCAGGCAGGTGCATCTATGCCAATCTATGCTTCTTATTCATGCACGCATCAATCTCTTTATCTGTTTGCGCATGTTGGCAATGTGAGAGAAACTTGCAACAACGACGAAACGATATACTCAGACTGAAGCACCAGCTCACGCTCTTGGGATTGCAGGATGATGGAATCGTTATGGGCTTGGTGGCTTGAGTGGCCGTACAGAAATGTACGTGGAAAAACCAATGCTCGTGCTAAGCCCTGTTCCTGGGCACCCAAACCCTTAACCCGCAAGTTGAAACACCAAAATCCCAGAAACGGCACCACCGCCCGAGCCCCTTTCTTGGCCTCCAAACGACTCCTTAAAGTCGAAATGGCCATGAGAACCTGAAAACCGAAAGCCCGAAACACTAGTTTGAAGGAAACTACAGGTGGGGCGTTTAGGGTATATAGACCTTCTATAAGGCTCCTATAACGGTAGCTACCCACCTGAAAATGTCCCAGACACCAGTCCCCGCCAAGCCCTAAACCCTAAACCCTAAACCCTAAACCCTAATCCCTAAACCCTAAACCCTAAACCCCTAAACCACAACCCTAAACCCTCAAGGACCTGGAATACTGACCGTCGAGCGCTCCGAAGTCTGCCAAGCTCGAACCTTCCGGTAGCAAGCGGAGCCTCGGCAGCGATCGGCTTTAGCGATTTGTTTGAACCACCCCAAAACCTCAAAACCCTAAACCCTAAACCCCAAACCCCAAAACCCTAAACCCAAAACCCCAAAACCCTAAACCCTAGAGCACTAAGAGTTGCTTAAGGCCAGGGGACTTAAGGGCTCAACTGAGGTTGCTGTTCTCCTTTGAGAGCCTTTCTGGCACTGCGGTAGCTCTATTTCGGGGATCAGGGTTGAAGATTACGGATCAGGACCCTAAACCCTAAACCCTAAACAAGGTTTACAGGTTTAACACAGACTTGAGGATCTGGGATTTTTGGGCTTAGGTGTTCCTTCTGAGTCTGCACCCCAAAAACCTACTAAATAGAGCCCTAGGGGCCCTAGTACCCTATATAGTAGGTACCTGGGGGGTTAGGGAAACACATAACAATGACCCAGAAAAACCTGTTTAGCAAGGACAGGTCCACCTTCGAAGTTCCGAGACTACTATTCCTAAACCCTTTAGAGTATGTACGGGTCCGAGGCCCTCCTCCAAGCCTTATAGAAAGAACTCCTGCCGGTTAAGGGTTTCGGGTTTGTGTTTAGGTCTTAGGGCCCTAGTAGAACCCGTAAAAAAGCCTTATAGGAACCCTTGAACTCTCTTCTTCAGCAACCAGGCCCACAAAAGTTCTAACTTTTTAGGATAGACCTGATATATAAGGCCAAAAAGTTTAAAGTTCTGCCATTGGCTATCTAAGTAAAGGAACCCTAGTAGAACCCTTTGGGCTGTGCCATGCGCGCTCCAAGCTTGTGGCTTTCTGTGGCCCCCGGAGAGTTTTTTCAAGACATACCTAGATATAGGGTTTAGGGTTTAGAGTTCAGGGTTCAGGGTTTGGGGTTCAAGGCTTAGGGTTTGGGGTATATAGGTTTATAAACTAAACTGGATTCTATCAAATATCATACCGGCATAGAGAAGACCGAAAGAGCAGAGGTTCTTGGATTTTGCAGGATATGGGACTTGAGACTAGTGTAAGCCCGGATCTTATAAAGCCTCTTACTTAGGGTTTAGGGTTTAGGGTTTAGGCTTTTTGAAAGGCCCGCTGCGCCTGGAGAGCCTGCCCTGTCGCGAAGACATCCCCAAGCAGAGGTGGCTCCGTTGGTAATGCTCTGATGTAGGAGCCTGATTACGAAACCCTGGCCTTATAACCCAAAGTATTAAATATTACTGACATTGTAGGGTTCATGCAAACGCACTGACTGAACCCTTTCAGCAGAACGACGAAACGCAGAATCATTGGTTCTTATATGCTAGAATTTGCATGGCTTTGGGTTACAATATACAAAACCTATCTTTAGAGGGACTACCAGGGTATACTTTATATAATAGTTAATATAGCTTTCTTTTACTATTGCTCAGGACTTTACACAAAAACTACCGAAATGCCCGAACAAACCCAACGTAGGGGCCTTAATCATCACCTATACTTGTTTGGGGGTTCCTTATTATAATTCTGGTATACTGGGCCCCAAAACCTATTTTAATTACTAAGGCCCCTACATTAACACGACCCTCTGCCCAATACTGGAGCTCCCTGGCAGTCTCCGGAGAAGTCCCTTGTCCAAGATGGCAGACCTTTAGGATTGAGAGGAATCGAGGTTTAGGAATTGTGGGGTTGGGCCCCAAACCCCCAACCGTTACACCACAAGCCCTAAGTTCAGGTCAGTTTCAACCTTCTGAATACTTCGTCGGGTTCGAGATTAGCGGGGTCCCTAAACCCTAAACCCCTAAACCCTCAACCCCTAAACCCCTGAACCCCTAAACCCCAAACCCTAAACCTGTCGGTCGCATGCAGTCCCTCGTTTGTTTCACGGGACTTTTGAGGCTAAGGGCTTTAGGGTTTAGGGAAGGTCCAGAGACTCCCAAATCCCTTAATTAAGGAATATACATTAAATTACAATGGAAGGGTCCAATAGTGTGGTACTCGGGTTTGGGATAATAGTTATGTAGGATCCTATTTTGGAGTATTTTGGAGAGCTTTTTATAATCATAGGTACTGGGACCCTCAGGGTAGGATTGAGAAGATCAGGGTGTACAGTGGCTTCAAAGGCTGCAGGGCTGAAGGTCTGGCCGCAATGCAAAGGAGCCAAGAGTTGTACTTCACACCCGCCATCTATGCGTAAACCCCACACCTAAACCCTAAACCCCATAGCCTGACATTACAAGGCTTGAGATGTCTTGAAGCAAAGACATCATTGCAGGATTTGAGATGACAAGAGGTAAATGTTGTTGATGATCTACATCCTGCATTACCCTTACGGACCCCAAACTATGGGAATTGTGGTGGCGAGGCCTCCGAGGTCAGAATCTGGCCCAAACTACTCACGTCCGAAGGCATTGTGGCTCACAACATCTAAGAGGCACTGGCGACTGGCATCTTCGCTTTTGCACGGGCACCAATCACTGCGCCTTGGCTACGTCTGTTCATACTTCGTTTGCCCTGCGCCTGCTCAACAAGACGCGGCGAAGGCCCCTGAGTGCTGTCGTGCTGGACTGATGCTGATTTCCAGGCCAGTGCCGTCTGCGGCATGTCAAACTACCGCGTGGTCTTTGAACTACGCTGGCCTCTGTTTCCTGTGCCGTATATCTCGGCGTTGAAGCACAACAGCAACACCACTGACGTTCCAGGACAGCGTCGGAGGATGCCCTGGCGAATCAGCAGGCCTCGCGGGCCTCGCTCCTCAAGTTAGGACTTAGGGTTTAGGATTTAG